TGCTGGCTACACACGGTAGCTTATGGCAACCCACTGCAGCAGGGGTTGCAGCCTACGCCATCGCTGGTGACTCATGGCAGCCCAGCTCCAGGTTGAGCTGTTGTTCAGCATCTTAGCTGTAGAGGGCAGCGTCACTGGCCCTCATATGTGGGATCCGAACCGGGGCCCTCTGGTGTCCCAAGCCAGCTCTTAACCAATGCGCTACTTGGCTGGCCCGGGAAGCATTCTTTACTAATTCATGATATTACTTTCTGTCATAGGCTGACTAATGGTTCCCCAAACATATCCACATCCTAATTCCCAGAACCTGTGAATATGTTACATTATATGGCAAAAAGAACTATGCAGATGTGATTAAGTTAAGGATCCTGAGGTGGGGAGGTTATCCTGGGTTATTTGGTTGGCCTGGTATGATCACGAGGGTCCTTATAAGAGAGCCAGAGGAGGAGTCAGAGGCACACAAGAAGGTGATGTGGTGACAGAAGCAAAGATGGGAGTGATGAGCCTTGGAGATGGAGGAAGGAGCCACAAGTCAAGAAATACAGGTCCGGGGGTGACCAGTTAGCTCAGATGCTTAGAGCACTATGCTGATAACACCAAGGTTGCCGGTTCAATCCGTGCATGGGCCGCTGTACGCTGCGCCCTCCTTAAAAGTACTATGCCATTGTAGCATGAAAGCAATGTATAACCAATGACCATGGCTATTCCCTAACAAAACTTAAAAAAAAAAAAAACAGGTGTGCGGGAGACCAGCTCCCACAGGTCCAGGGGTTCCCTCAGGTGGAAACGGAGTAAGTGAGGAAAAAGAAGAAAGACGCGTGGAGACACAGGAGTGCAAGAAGAAGTGTCTCAGTTTATTTTTTACAGCCTGTCCTTTTTATACTGGACAGTTGACTATATTATTGAGCTGTTTTTTCCAGAGTTAAACTTTCACCCATTAGGAAGTTGTTTTTCTTATATGTTCTCTCCCAGGGTCTGTTTTTCTGAGAAGTTGTTTTGCTCAGAGTTTTACCTTCTCCTGATGTTTCTGATACAGCCTGATCTGTTCTATACTAATGACTAACTTATCCTAACTATGTTTCAATCTTTACCAAAGCTGAATTTCTGCCTTAGCGCCTAAAGGATGTTTACTATAACTACTTAGCAATTGTTTCAAGCACTACTGGGTAAATAGAGTCCTAACAATTATAAGGTGCATAACTTATCTATTACTAAGAAACTAACAGTAAAACAGAATTATCGTAATATGTCTAAAACTCACTTATTTGGTTAAAGTAAATAATCAATATAAGAAGGGGTGTCAGATCTTTATCCTACTGGGGGCATCCAAAGGAGAATTTAAATTTTGCAAGACATAACGCAGTGTCTGTTTCTCAGTCAGAGCTTCAGAATTTGTCACAATAGCAGTGTGCTTGGCCATGTCAGACACTGAGGTGCAGCCGGCTCCCAACACAGGTGACCACTAGAAGCTAAAAAAGGCAAGAAAACAGATTGTCCCTCAGAGCATCCAGAAGGAACCAGCCCTGTCAACACCTTGACTTTAGCTCAATGAAATGGATTTTGGACTCCTGGCCTCCAGAACTATTAGAAAATAAATTTGCATTGTTTTAAGTAACTATGTTTATGGTAATTTGTTACAGTGGCAACAGGAAATGCATTCATCTTTCATGTGAAGGAAGTTGATTTAGTATATTTCCTGTGTTCTTGGAGGCGGTGATTTATCTGATTGGTAAATTTGAAATAATAAACTGGGCATGATGGGCTTGGTTTCATATTCTTCCTCTTTGGGAGCCAGTCAGCCCCAGAAAGCACAAGTTCTACTTCTTGTAGGGTAGGATGCTACCCATGTGATGAGACGTGCCCCAGTCAGTGCTGCAGGGCCTGGTTGGTTGCGTTTATACAATTGCGTGGCTCAGTATCAGAAAGTTCACTTGACTTTCATGCTAAGCTAATCCCCCAGTGGCTTTTATCAGAATAAGTTCATACTTTGGCCTCCACTGACCACTTCTTTGTTTTATATCTCTCTTTGTACATAACTCAAGCATGGTGAAAGGGTGCATTTGAAGACACAGTAGTTCCCCCTTATCTGTGGTTTCACTTTCATGGTTTCAGTTACCTGCAGTGAGCCTCAGTCCAAAAAATATTAAATAGAAAATTCCAAAATAACAATTCTTTTTCATAACAAACAAACAAAAAGTTTTAAACTATGTGTCGTTCTGAGTTGCACGGTGAAATCTGGTGAAATCTTGAGCCATCCCACTCTTTGTGCTGTCTGGGATGTGAATCACTCCTTTGTCTAGCGTGTCCACTACCCATCCATTGGTTACTTAGTATCAGACTGACTGTCGTGGTGTCCCAGTGTTTGTGTTTAAGTAACCCTTATTAATGCCACATTCACGTAGCTTTTATTACAATATATTGTTATAATTATTCTATCTATTGTTATCATTGTTAATCTCTTATTGTGTCTATTTTATAAATTAAACTTTACCATAGGTATGTATGTATAGGAAAAAACATAGTATATATCGGGTTCAGTACTATCCGTGGTTTCAGGCATCCACTGGGGGTCTTGGAACGTATCCTCTGTGGATATGGGGGGCTACTATAGTCAAGGAAAAAGTAATTCCCATCCTATTCAAGCCATTCCAGAGCACAGAATAAAATGGAAAGCTGTGTGCTTCCTTTCATATGCCTGGCTACACTCTGTTACCAAGGACTAGGACAGCACAAGAAAAAAAACAGGCCCAAACCCACATAGGAGCAGAGAAGAATCGATCAATCACTCAATAAGTAAATTATATTAGACATTCTGAAAGAATAATGCATCATGACCAATTAAAATTTATCTTAGAATGCAATAAGAGTCCAAAATAAAATGATTTTGTATTTACTACATTAACAGATTCATTCAACAAACGTTTATTGAGCTCCTATTACATGCCAGGTACTCTTCTGGGAGATGGGAGAACAGCAGTAAACCAATAACTTTTTAAAAAAGTTTAAATCAACTTTATTTACAAAACATTATCATAAGAATCATGGTTCTGTAAATTTTCCATTGAGTAAAAATATAACCACCTAAGTGATAGCAATTTCCTAAACTAAAAATGAGCAACAATTCAAAATTAATTTTGCAAAGAGATTAAAAAAAAATCTCTTGTTCAGTAGCAGGTTTGATTGAAAGCTGAATCAACCCTGAAGAAAACCACCATGTCAAGATATAGGGATGGTGGAGTGAAAAGTACATGGGAAAATAAAAGGAGGCAAACATTTTGGTGGATAGATATTTCTCTTTGCTGCTAAAGGATGCAGTAGGCCAGGGAAAAATTCTTCGGTGGGAAGGATTCTAGGGTGGTCCATACATGCTTTCTGGAGAAAGGCAGGAGAGAGAAGAGGCCCCCTTGGGTCCACCAACAAAGGACCGTGTCCTGGAGAATGAGACATTTGATGTTAATTTTATGTGTCACCTTGGCTAGGCTATGGTGCCCAGTTGTTTGCTCCAACACTGGTCTAAATGTTGCTATGAAGATATTTTTTAAAATGTGATCTACATTTAAATCAATAGACTGAGTAAAGCAGATCATTCTCCATAATGTAGGTGGGTCTCATTCAATCAGTTGAAAGCCTTGAAAACACAGACAAGCTTTCCAAAGAAGTGTCTACCCCTGTCTGAATTTCCAGCCTGCAAATTGCACTCAAAATTGCAACATCAACTCTTCCCTGAATTTTAGGCTGCCAGCCTGCTTTACAAATTTCAGATCTGCCAGCCTTACAGTTGTATGAGCCAATTCTTTAAAAGAAATCTTTCTCTGTTTATAGGTCCTGTTTCTCTGGATAATCCTAACTAATACAAGGCAGAAGAAGAAAGTCTGAGAGCGAAGAGGAGACTCTGAGTGAAGAAATGTGAAAACTCAGATGGAGCTGACCCCATGGTGAAGAGCTATCCTGTAGAATATGATGCCAGCTGAACAAGTCTGAGTGAGTGCGTGGATTTTGATTTCCTAACTAATACAAGGCAGAAGAAGAAAGTCTGAGAGCGAAGAGGAGACTCTGAGTGAAGAAATGTGAAAACTCAGATGGAGCTGACCCCATGGTGAAGAGCTATCCTGTAGAATATGATGCCAGCTGAACAAGTCTGAGTGAGTGCGTGAATTTTGATTTCTGTTCTAGAGCTTTCCCCCTTCTTATAATGCCAGCAATCAATTGTCTGTTTTTCAGTTCTTTTCTATCAAATCTGTTTTATCACAGAATACAGGATGGGACCTGTATGGCTTCTCATGAGTAGCCTCCAGATTTGCTGCTCCCCGTGACTCTTTATGAAGGCTGGCATCTTTTCAGGATAACTCTGGACTTTCTTAATTTCTTAATGTGATTAATCTTTTTTTTTTTTAAGATTTTATTGGGGAACTGGAGGGAGGGAATCGGGAAAGGGGAACAGACAGGTAGACAAATTGCTGTTTTTGTTCTTCAGTCTAGTTGTGGAGGACGTCACTTCACTGGCCCATGTTGGTAAGATCATTGTGCTCTTCCCGGGTGAGGCAATCGGTCACCGGTCATTGGTTGGCTGCTCACAGTGGCTCCTGGCAGCTCACACCGGCTGCTGGCCACTCACACCGGCTGCTGGCCGCTCACATAGCACATGGCAGCCCACTGCAGCCCCGCTGCAGCCTATGCTGTCGCCGGTGACACAGCAGCCCAGCTCCAGGTGGAGCTGTTGTTCATCATCTTAGCTGTAGAGGGTGAGCATCACTGGCCTTCAATGTGGGATCCGAACCGCAGCCCTGCTGCTCAGAGCTGGCGCTCCCAAGCAAGCTTTTAACCAGCTGAGCCACTCGGCTGGCCCTGTGGTTAATCTTTTTAACAATGTTTGCATTTTCCTTCAATTAGTTTTATTAAATCACATAGTGAGCCCCCCCCTTCCTCTACACTTGTTTTCTATATAATTTTTGGTATTTTTTTTATTGTGGTAAGGTACACATTACATAAAATTTAGCATTTTACCCATTTTTAAGTGTACAGTTCAGTGGCGTTAGTATATTAACAATGTTGCACAGTGTTTTATAAGCCTGACTTCACCTCTGATACCTAATGAGGACAAGGACAGCACACAAAAAAGAATAAGAAAATTTGTAGAGCGGGCTGGCAGGCTAGAAATTCAGGGAAAAGTTGATGTTGCGATTTTGAGTATGAAATTGGCAGGCTGGAAACTCAGGCAGGAGTGGACATGGCAATCTTGAGGCAGATTTGCTTATTCTTTGGAAAAATTCAGTCTTTAATTTTAAGGTCTTCAACTGACTGGACAAGACCCACCCACATTATGGAGAATAATCTGCTTTACTCAGAGTCTATTGACTGAAATGTAAACCACATTTATCCATTTCCATAACTTTTTCATCATCCCAAACAGGAGCTCTGTACCCATTAAAAAAAAGCTCCCTGTTTCTTCCTCCCAATAGCCCCTGGTCACCACTATTCTGCTTTCTTTCTATGAATTTGCCTAGTTTAGGCTTCCTATAAGAGGAAATCATACAGCATTTGCCTTTCTACAGTTGCTTTTTTTTTTTTAAGATTTTATTGGGGAATTGGGGGAGGGGAAGAGCATTGGGGGATCGGGGAAGGGGAACAGACAAGTTGCTGTCCTTTTGTTCTTCAGTCTAGTTGTGGAGGACATTGCTTCACTGGCCCATGTTGGTATTATCATTGCGCTCTTCCCGGCTGAGGCAGTCACTTGCAAGCCATTGGACGGCAGTTCTCGGCGGCTCATGGTGGCTCACGAAAGTGCACACCAGCTGCCGGCCAGCCCCACTGCAGCCTACGCCATCACTGGCGACTCACGGCATTCCGGCTTGTGGTCAAGCTGTTGTTCACCATCTTAGCTGTAGAGGGTGCAGTGTCACTGGCCTTCATGTGGGATCCAAACCGGGGCCCTACTGCTCAGAGCTGGCGTCCCAAGCCAACTCCTAACCAACGTGCCACTCAGCCAGACCCTACTGTTGCTTTTTAACTGAGTAAAAACTTCTCCAAAACAAGATAACTATTAAAAAAAATTCAGTAAATTGTTGCTCACACCATCATCTCCAAGGAAATTCAAAGAGATTGGAGCCTGAGCTCCTATATCCAGGCAATAAGGCCACAGTTTTGTAAGCTTCTACAGGAGAGGCCTGAAGCTCGGTTTTGAGGCAATCTGCAGCCCCTTGGTGGAGCCCATGTCTTCTGCAGACCTGACTCTGGTGTCCCTTGGCCCACTGAACCGTAATAGACTTCCCAGAGCACTCCCCCGCATTCAGCCAAGCCAAACCTGCACTGCCATCTGGCACAGCCTATCGGTCGGGCGGGCCCAGGGCTCAGAGAGGCACACTGAAGACTTAGCCCTGGGCTCCTGCTTCTCACCCACGCTTTCAACATGAATGATTTATTTCACTTCACTTTGTACTGAAAAATAAAGCACAAATTAGAATACTGCACAAAACAAATTATTGTTATGAGAACATATTTGTAACCACCACCCAGGTCAAGAGCTAGAACCTTGTCGGCCACCTCAGAAGCCCCTGTATGTGTCCCATCCCCATCTCAACAATCTTCCTTCCCCAAAAGTAACCTCTCTCTTGACCTTCTTGAACCACTTTATTGAGATGTGATTCATATACCATACAAATCACTGATTTCAAGAGTATAATTTAATGGTTTTAGTATATTCGCAGAGTTGTGCGAACATCTCCTGCCTTTCATAGCTCTTCCTTACTCCCAGTGGTAAAGTGCGCATAGGAAATGTAGGATAAATGCTTGTTCTGTCCTTTTATTTGCCAGTTTTCAGGACATTGAATCAGTTTCCTTCTATCCTCCAAAAGTGACTAGTTAGTTGGGGAGTACGGGGGTGGGGTTGTTTTTTGGATTGTTAAAAAACCATTATGAACTCATGGTTTTAAATATGTTTGATGGGTTTCAACTCATTGCAATTATTGTACTTGATGAAGCTCTAATTGTCCTGTCTGGGCCAGCATGGCCTCCTGGGTCCCTTTGACACAACTCTAGTTGTCTTTGATAGCTTCCTTGCTAGCTGGTGTGATGAGATGTTATAAAGCATATCACAGCCTGTAGCAATTTAAACAATGTGATATTGATGGAGGAATGGGCAAGTAAATTAATAGAAGTATGGGGACTTAGTAAGTCATAAAGTTATGCGGGAGACATCTGTTTTGTTTTGTTGTTTTGCTTGTCAGCATTTATTGTGCTTTCTAATAGGAATAGTTTTCCAGAATTTATTTTGGATACCACTCCTCATTCGTCCAGCCTTATTAAAGTGTGTTGAGAGGAACCGACCACATCATCAGCTCCGGTTGCTGCCTTGATTGACTTAAGCCGATCAGCATATCCAGTCACCCTGTCCACAGTGACTGCTTTAGAGACGGACATGACCAGAGTCCATGAAAGACAAGAAGGTGGGGCTTCTGGGAAAGATGTTGGGAGAGTCGGCCTTCCCTTTGGAAGAAGATACCAAATTTCTACTTCTTACCATTCACAAATATTAATTGAAGTGGTATTAAGAACCTATTGTTGTTCTTAGAAGATACAGAAAAGCACAAAGCCATATTGATAGTTTGATAATTTGGTTACATGATGTTAGCACCACAAAACACGGTGAGTAAAATTAAAGCAAACTGAATGGAAGGAAATATTTGCTACATACATAACAAGAATTAGTATCCATGTCATAGTAAACCTTCTATATGCGGAGAAGAAAAAAGGCAACATGATAGAAGTTTGAGCAAAAGATATGAGCAAAGAATCCACATAGGAGGACATAGGCACATAAAGGGCAACCCCTCCCGCCCCAAATCACTGTAAGCATCTGAAAAGTGCTCGACTTCACTATTAATCAAGGAAGTGCATTTTAAAACTGCAGCAGAGTATTCCATAGTATGGATATACTAAAGTTTAATCATTTCCCTATTGATGGAAATCTAGATTATTTATTATACACAGTGCTCAATGAATGTCTCTGTCTTGCCTCCTTGAACCTGCCTACACTTCTAGATATTCAACTCTGTAAATTTAAACCCAGAACGTGATAGCCGACATCTTGGTTTCTGGACCCCAAAGAGAAGTTGCATAGCACATGGATGTACTCTGAAACTTACCATCGGAATGTTTTTTGGATTTTTTTTGCTTAATCATGTGCTTAATCTAATACACTTGGGGACTACTGGAACTTTTTCTGGTCAGATTAGTTCAAACAGTCAGAAATTGTTCTCTTTCCTTGAAATAAAGCTGATTGAAGGATTACATTGCCTGAATAGCTGTAGGATTCAGAAACTCCTTTATAAAGACTTACTGTAGTTTTAAGTTCAAAAAAATCCACGATTTCTTTGGATTAATGGTCTAACATGCATATTTTACTAGAGCTTTGCTTTTTTTTTTTTTTTTAAACTACAGCCTTACTTAGCTATAGCTTGTTTGTTACTCATTAGATGTAAGTATATCCCAGGGAGACGAAATTGTTGACTCTCTGCCCAGGAGGGAGAGAAAATATTTATCAAATTCAAAATATGTATGCCTTTTGTTCCAGCAATTCCAATTTTAGGACTCTCTCCTACAGAAATACCAAATGTATACACACATACACACACATACCCGATGCAAGGATGTTCGGTGCACCATTGTTTGTAATAAACAATTCAATCGAAAATGTGATAAATGTCCATCAATAAAGGAATGGATAAATCAGTTGAGACCTGTCAATACGTTGAGTGACAGCTACAAGTTCATCACCTTGGGAAAATGTCTGTATAAGAGAGGGTCTCGGCAGGAAAAAAGAACTCATCCCAGCTGTTTCAAGTGAAGAGATTTTAAGAAAAAGTTTACTTACAAGAGGTTGAGCAGTGTTAAATCAACAAAGAAGAGATGGGGAAGTAGCAACCAATCAGCAATAGAGAAAAGCTATTACCATCCATAGAGTGTAAGGTACCAGGGAGAGAACATATACAACTGGAGCCCAGTGAAACTTGGAACCATGGAGTCAGGGCCACCCAGTGGAACTATAGCCAAAGAGGGACATGGTTACTGCCAAAGGCGGAGCTGAAGTGGGGGAAAGCAGGGAAGGAATACTCTGACTTCTTTCCTCTCATGCTTCCATCTCTTGCTGGTGCCTCCCATTGGCTGAACCCAATCCCAAGCCTCCGGCAAGGGAGCCCGAGTGAAGCAGTCCATAGGAGTAAGCCTGCTGGGCCACACAGCAGGCCAGAGAGGAAGCGCAAAAAATGATCCATGGGGATAGAACCACAGACTCGAGATTCAAGCCCCATGTTTTCATTCTATACACAGCGGTCTACCTTATAGAAACTGCTTTCCCTTTTTTTTCAAAAGTTGTTTAAACTTTTTTCTTTTTTTTTTTAGCATAGAAAGTAAAGGCAGAAATAAATTTTCAAGTGCTCAATTTTTAAGGAAAAAGGTAGATTACAAAAGTTATTTTCTCACCTAATTCAAAAGCAAGTAGAGTTGAAAACCTAATAAAGAAACCATTTGGTAAAAAAAGAAAAACAACAAATACCTAGGACAATAACAATGAACTTTCAGGGTGTTGGAAGATACACCCTTGCTTTACTATTAATGTTTAATGTAAAATGATTGAATTCTTTTATTCAAAATAGGCTTTAAGCAAGGTTAAAAAAGAAAGAAAAAAGAAAGACAGCAAGCCAATATTCAACATTCTGTTGCCTGTAAGAGACACACTAAAAATGAAACTATTCAAGTTGTCTAAAAGTTGAGGGAGGGCTTAAGATTTATTATGGCTCTGTGCATACAAAACAAGCAGATGTTATAATCCAGGTTGCAGTGATTGTTGTATATGTCTGAAAACTTGAGAGATAATGACTAAGCCTGCGAAGGGGAGAGACAAAGGTGATAGTTTCCCGGTGTGCTGGTAGATGAAAGAATCTTCATGGCTACTGGAGGGGTGTGGACTCAGCTGCAGTCTTTCTGGCACCAGAGGAAAAGACATGTGATAAAGAAGATATGCTATAATAAGGCCCATGGGGCAAACGCTGCTGTATTAATGATGTGATGTATGTTTCACCCACATCATCCCAGGTGTTCTGGTGTGCAGGTGTGCACACCTGTGGAGGAGGAAGCGGAACAAACTTAAACTGACTTCGGTTGATCACTTTAGGGAGATTGAGGCAGTTGAAGAGCTACCAGTGTCAGCTTTGTCCAAAAGAATAAGCAAGTAAGATTATATTTTTTTTCTAGAAAAAGGAAAATGATGATAAATTCTCCCTTTAAAAATAAAAATCCCATTATGAAGCAGTGATTTTCAAAATCATATCCTATTGAATTAAAAACAGGTAAATTGATCAGTGAAACAGAATAACATTTCTAGAAGTAGATGTAAACAATGGTAACAAGTCAATATGACAAAGATGACAACAAATCTATAAAAAAACATATTGCTATTTTATAAAAGTGATCAATGTGGAGAAGAATTAGCTAAACTCCCACCATGTACTATAATAAACTTCAGGTGGATCAAATTAGATTGAAAGGCTTATTGTGGATGTTTTCTTTTCCTTTTTCTTTTTTTCCCCCTGAGCATCAGTTTTCCTCTTCCTAATATGGCACTCCCACCATAATTTCCTAATGTGAAATTTCTTCTTCCTGACTCTATGTTCTGTTCCCATCTTTCATTTGGAAGCTGAAGGTGATTCACACCCTTCTTTTCTTTATCCAGTACAGTCAGGGGATGGGCACTTGACCTAGAACTTTGGTTCTTCAGCTGATGCAAGGATAAGAAAGAACAGTGGTTGGTCACTGGAATCCAAACAGGCTCTTCCACCTACAAAACAGCTGTTATCCTATCTTTGGTTCCCCAGAATTCCTTGCTCCTTTTCCATTCTCAAGCATGTTCCCCCAGACTCATACCCATAGTTTGCTTATACTGGCCAGAGTGAGATTCTTTCTAGATATGGAAGCTCCAAAGAAATAACTGAGGAGGAAGAGAGTGTATGAGATGGTTGATGGTTTCACAGTTCATCTTGGTATATCTCCCCTCTAAGGAAAGCATTCTGGTAGATGGTCTGACGATTTGCATTTCTTCTTGTTGCTCGCCCATGAGAGGAGTATAGTTTTCTATCCCACTGATGTTGGCTTGTCCACGTGACTTGATGGACCAATAGAATGTAAGTAGATGTGATGGGTACCATGTCTAAGCAGAAGCTTTAAGTATGATTTGCCAATTTTGCTTCCAAAATATGTATTTTACTTTATCGACTTCATTTTTCTACCAAACTACCAGCACTGTCCTAATCCGTGATAATCTCGTTCATTTACTTCAATATCCTAATAACTCTTCTGGCTTTTAGCTGTGTACCTTGAAAATCCATCCTTCAGGGCCGGCCGAGTGGCACAATGGTTAAGAACTGGCTTGGGAACGCCAGAGGGCCCCGGTTCGGATCCCACATATGAGGGCCAGTGACACTGCCCTCCACAGCTAAGATGCTGAACAACACCTCAACCTGGA